GGCACTCGGGGGGCTGTAGGCCTTGATGGGGGTCAGGATCATCTGATGCAGCTCCTGCAGCGGGACGCGCAGGCTTCCCCCCTCGATGATGTCCTAGGGGGAGAGGAGAAGACTGTGTGAGCTTCAGGGTGGGAGCCCTGCTGCCAGCCTCCCTGTCCCTCACTGTGCTCCAGGGCCCTCCGTCAGCAAGCTCTTAGGAAAGTGGCCAGCGGAAACCACAACCTCAGCCCAGTAGAAAACCTGGGAGATGAAGACTTGCAGAGTGCAAAAGCCCACATCACTGGAGACCCCCGTTAGAAATGGCGATCTTCCTGTCTCAGCCTCCCAGAGTGCTGTGATTATAGGCGTGCACCATCATGCCAAGCTGGTCAAATGCATTCCTTAGGTTACATGCACACACTTTATAAACTGTGTGACAAGGTGGGGCCAGAGCATGGCTTGTGGCTTGCTCCTACTTTGTTCTAAAGAAAGGAACAGGGTTGCGAACACCTTCGCTCAGCCCACACCACCACCAGCACAGCTGATGATAACAGGCACAGGCTCCAGGGCGTGGGGCAGGGCCTGGGGGAGGAGGTCCCATGGCCTGGGGTGTCAGAATCGATCAGAATGAGACCAGCAACTAGGGAAGATTTTTAGCAGGGAAGAGAGTTTTAAAGGGAGGATTCTGGAAGGAAATACATTTAATGTATAATATAATATGCAGTGTGATTGAAATATACAGTTAAATTAAAAATACTCAGTACAGTAAAAGACATTGCCACGAATCCCCTCAAAATCCTTCCCTGTGCTTTAAACACACTTTCCGCAGTAGCTCTGGAGTCCTCTTTCTTGAGGGTTTTTATGAATTGGGATAGAAAAATACAGTGAATGTTGCTGCCGAGTGCCATCCAATGGAAAGGCAGGCTTGGAAAAACACGACTCTGTGGCCTTGTCACCAAATCTGGTTCTTCCCCACAGTCAAAATGACCATGAGAGGGAAGTGTTTTAAATCAATTCAGGACACCGAGGCAGGCAGGACAGTGTAGCTAAAGACACTCAAAACAGGCCAGGGGCTTAGAGCGCAGCGGGCTCAGGCCAGGGTCTTCTCTGGCTTGCTGGGTGGGCAGAGCCCTGTGCACCTGTCCCACCCCCTTCTGCAGGGCCAGCTCTTCCTGTGACCCAGGAAGGAAGCAGGCAGCCTGGCCCTGATTACTAATGAAGCACTCAGTCTTCAGAGAGCTCAGAGCAGAGGGGGCGTAATTTGAAAAGCTCGAAACACAAGGACCCAAACCATTCCCAGGATTCTCTCTTCCCAGGGACGTTGGGGATAGCAGACCTCAACAGTACCGTCACTTCTGCACCCAGGACTTCCCAGGTATCCATCTGAGAGAGGAGAGGGGTGGCAGCCAGGGACATGGGCATCTCGACTGTGGGCAGCAGGGGATGCCAGCAGCCATGCCCTCACTGGCAGGAACCTGCTTTGTTTGGAGAGGGGTTTAAAGTGGGGCTTAGCCTAGCTGGCATGAGGGTTTTATGAAGGAAGTGCAATTTTTTTTTCTGGTCCATGGGGATTGGACTCAGGACCTTGTACTTTTGAGGCAGGCATGTTGCCGCTGAGCTAAATCCCTAGCCCTAAAGTGCAATTCTAATTAGCCGGTGTAAGTGTTCAAACCTGGCCACAGCCATTGTTCAGCCTATGTCAGGGAGAAAGTCATTTGCTCTGTGTGTGTGTGTAAGACAAGGTCTTGCTTGTCCAGGCTGGCCTTGAGCTCATTATAGAGCCCAGGCTGGCCTCAAACTCATGGAGATCCTCCTGCCTCAGCCTCCTAAGCGCTGGGATTACAGGTGTGCTCTACCATGCCCAGCTCTCATTTGCCTTTTAGAAGAGGGCCATAGAGTGTCTGCTCCCTTCCTGCCAGATGCAGCGGCACCAAGGAGGCAGGAGCAGCTTAGCCCAGGCTTTGAGCCCTGGGCAGGAGGACAGCCCTGCCCCTCTCCTGACCCAAGCATGTGCCGCCCAGGGACCCTGGCTTCCACCTCTAGCTCCTGCCAGTAGCCCAACTGGCACCTGGGCGGTGGGGTGCCAGGCCCCTGTGCAGCCCCTGTCTGAGGACAGGGAAAATGAGCCAGCTGAGCTCATCCCTCAGTGAGCCAGCGTCACTCAGGAGAGGGAAGGAATTGTCTGAGGCCGTCTACTGCCACCGAGCCCCACCTGCTTTCACCCCAGCACAGAGGCTTTTGCAGTTCGCGGTGACAAGGGGACAGGGTTCTGCTGAGAGCTCTATTCCTTCCCCCAGGAAACACGCAAGCACTAAGCCCAAATCTATCTTAGTTATGGGGGAACCACAGACAAAAGAGCAGCGACAAACAAAATAAATAATGCTGGGCACTTGCTGTAAAATTTAACTTCCTAGAAACCGTGAAGAGTTTTGCTTTAGTTTTTCCCTGTAGACTTCTAGCCACTGTCTAAAGAAAACAACTGGGTTACAGCCAGCTAACCAAATGTCGGCCTAGGCGGCGTCCACGGGGAGGCACTGGGACCAGCAGGCCCCATCCATGTCCTGCCTCTTAAAAACAAATTCCTCACCTGGACACCAAGGGTCCATCCTGAGGAGCAACAGGAGGAGCGGCCTGAATGGACTCCACCTGGCACTCGTGTCTGGCTGTGAGAATTGATCTCCGTGTTGAGAAGTCTCTATCGATCCTTAGTACCAGAAACACAGCCACATCGCAAACACAAACACGCGAAATGAAGCTGACCGGTAACTAACGTGGCCAAGCAAGGGGCTTGTTCAGAAGCAGGTAACGGGAATGTGGTCCATGCCCCGCGTAGTGATGGCTCAGAGGACACACAGGAGGGACAGAGTCACCCGGCCCCACTTGGCCTGGCTCTCTTGGCCTTGGAGAAAGGCTGGTTAAGTGCCTCTCCCCGACATGTGACAAGAAGGCATTCGCGAGAGATGGCTCAGGCCAAGTATCCCCGGCACGTGAGTGACACGTCCCTGGCCTCATCTTTCCACACAACAACGGGACAACTCTGGTGACTTAAGTCTGTTCTCTCCCTTCTCCTTTCACCCACAGCTGCCAAGCTCGACCCTCAGCCAGACACGGCTCTTCCCTGGGGACACGGGACAGGTATGTTGTCTTCCACACCCTAAAATTCTTACCCTCCCTGGGACCCCCATGCACTGACAATGTCAGGACAGGACGCTTTGGGGACAGGGCAGAAGGACCGCCACCTATGGCTGCGTGGGGCGGGGGTGCAGAAAGAGAAGAGCAGTGGACAGCACGAGGGACAGCACGAGGTGATGGGGCCGAGATGACTCTGGAACGCGCTGTACCCTCAGGAGAGGCAGCTGTCCCGACTACGTGAGGAGGTCAGGCCCAGCCGCGCAGAAACGCGTAAAACTTAAAAAAGAAAAATACCTTAGTATTATCAGACCTTAGAACTGAGTATGAAGTACTGAGTACTTAGGAGATGGTTACTGTTTAGTGTTGTTAATTTAACCGTGGTTTCTCTGGAGCAGTTGATGAAAACATGGTCTCAGATCTGTCCTCAAGGATGAGATCTGGATGCATCTGAAGAAAAAGCTCAGGTTTCCAGAGAAGCACTCTGCCCCTCTAACCGGAAATAAGCAGAATCAGGGTGAGAGTGTGTGTGTGTGTGTGTTCCATTTCACACTCTGGGCAAGAAGTGAAAAGGAAAGACAAAAATAAAAGCACATACATGATGAAAGATCTATGCCACTAACCAGCCCAGTGTTCCCTCTCTACCAAAGTCTGAGCAGTGACGGCTTCCTCACCAACACCCTCCCGGATGGTGGGTTTCTGCACCTGTCCCCTCCTTTCTCCCCAAACCTTTCTCATCATGGTGAACAATTCCAGGGGACAGCGTGCGTGTCGGTGTGACATGTCCATGCCGCTGGGGGGATCTCCTGCTCCCCACACTCCTGACCCCACGGGCAGGACCCGGGGCACAGCTGCAGTGTCACTGGGTGACCCTCAGGGCCTGCCCTCACCCCTCCCACTGGACACACACTTCCCAGGAGCTACGACTGCCAATTACAGGTGTCCCGAACGTGGGTCTCAAGGCCCTGCTGTGTTCCGGACTCCAGACCTGCTCCTCTGGCCACTGACCAGCCACTCCCCCGGGGTCCCGAAGCTGCTCAGATCTAACCCATCTAACCAACTCCCCCTTTCCCGCCCCAGCGACCCTTTCTGCATTTCTGTTCCCACATGTCAGGACATCCAAGCCAAACTTCCTGACAGCCCCTGGACTCCCCTCCCATGAGCTCCCTCGTCCTCCTGCTCCGTCCTTGTGGCCTTGTTTTGGTCCAAGGCCATCACTACCGGCCACACTCCCCTCCCAGCAGCAGCTGGCTTCTACCGAGCTGTCCCTCCTTCACCTCCGCAGAACTACTTCATCCCTGCAACATTCCCTGTGGGGCACTGTGCTGCGAGATCCTTCGCTACCCTATCCATCTGTTCCAGCGCACACCCCAGTGGCCCCTGGAGGCAGGAGCGGGCCACGCCCTCAGGAGGGAGTGCACAAACTGAGTCAGCAGCTGCAGGAAGAGCTGCCCCCCACTGATTATGAACTAGCTGTGGGCGGGGTCCCAGCCATCTCTTTAGAAATCTGGGTTCTGTGTGACATAAGAATGCCAGAGGCAGGCAACGGTGTGACAACAGCATTTCCAACAGTGTCACCCACCCAAATGCTGCCTGCCAGTGCCTGGCCTGCGTCTGTCACTGTGCCTGCATGGGAACAGGTGACCAACGAGCTCCTCCCTTCATTGGGCAGAGAGGGAGGTCGGGGTCCTGGGGCAGGGTAGCCGAGCATCAGGGGTCTGGAATAAGCAAGCTGGCTCACCGACCCTTCCCTCTGGGCCAGTCCCTGCCATCACACTCTTGGCGTCTGCTTTCTGTCCCATCCCAGGGAGACAGGAGGAAGCATTTTTGAGGAGTCAGAATTAGTCTAGGTGTGACTATGGGAGGTGGACCAAGGCGACTGCTCAAAGGTCAGCTGGCACACCGTGGCTCCTTGGGCCACCTGCGCTACCTTGAGGCCTGGCTCCACACTGACGGAGGCCACGGCTGCAGGAGACCCAGGAACAGAGACTCAGGGTCCCTGTCTCAGAAGGGCACATTTCCTCAGTAACAGAGGGCGTAGACTAGTTCCTGAGGATGCACCGGAAATCAGAAAGGAAAAAGCTGTCTTGCACCAAGATACTTAGCAATCTACGCCTCAGGCAAAATGTTTTCTGTAGTTTCTTAGAGACAAGGGAATACACTGGGCTTTGCGGTGGTCCCTCAGTAAAAATGACAGCAATCACTGTTAAGAGGAGCCGCCTGGTGAAGGAGCTGGCAGGAAATGAAGAACAGAACCTCGGGTTCGGCTGGAGAGCTCCCCGAGAGGCTACAGTACACTTTCACAGAGAGCCCGCCTTCATCAGCCCTGCTTGTCTGCCTACCCAGCGGTTTTAAAAGAAATCATTCTCTAAATATACATAATTATGGGCTAGGCATTAATATAACTTTACAGAGTGTATGTAAATCACACACCCCCTTTGTAAGTTACAATTCCTACTCCATGAACATGTTTGTTCACTGCCCTCGCTTCACCTGGCCAGGCTCAGTAATCTTTCCCCTTCTAAAGCTCCCTGGGTTACTAAGAAGAGGTCACTCCACCCTGAGGCTGCAAACAGCCACGGAATCTCCAGCCCTCTTCCCGACCCGTGCATGAGGTTTCCAGCGCTGGGACAGAGGTGACACAGGTGTGGCGGTGTGGGACAGGGCTCAGCTCCTTTGGACCTTGCACGAGCTCATACAGTTGCCACATCCTAAAAACACTTGTTACCGGGATGCCATCTCTGGGCAAGAAAAGGAGAGGGGCCAAAAAGGGACAGTGGCACCAAGACTATTTGTTGCACCAGAATAAGCTGCTTTCAGCATTTCCCAATTTGGAGGTGGCTCCTACCAAAGGTATGAGGATTCACTCTGCTGTGACGCCCGTCTGAGGTTACTCTCTGTATCACTGGCTCTGCCTGACTGCCCAATGCTTTTGCCCCTCCCCAGCTGGGATGCACCTGTTGATTTTTACCCCCAGGTGGGGGTAGCTGTTAGCAAGAGCAGACCCTCTGGGTGGATGGAGAGGGAAACACCCCCGCATGCTCCCTGACCTGCTCTTTTTTTTCTCACATATTTTTTACCTAACTCCTCACCTTGTCTCCTTACAAACAGACACCAAAGGTGCCCTTGACTTCAGCAGAGGTCTGGGGCGGCTGGTCACAGGTGGTCTGCACCTAGGCGACTGGTACATTTCAGTGTCGGGATCCAAAGCAGCCCGGAAAACCAGGGACCATGCTTCGGAATGACTTCCTGTTTTCTAAGGAAGCCACAGGAGAGCCTCTCTAGGACCTGCTGGGGACGCTCGCTTTCAGGAATTTTCCGTGGCCCGCTTTGCCACGATGAAGGCAGAAATGCGCCCTCGTCCACCGAGAACTTACCCTTTCCAGAGACTTCAGGTGGTTTTGTCTTTCTTTGAGCTTCTGAATACTGATGACGATTTTGTGTCTCGCACCTTTGGTAACATTCTGTAATTAAACACAAGTTACGTTCTCAAACATCCTCAAGGACCAGCTCAGAGACCCTCTCAGTGGCTCTGCGGGGCTTTCTGTGTCCTTTGCACTACACATGCTGGCAGGCTGATCAGTGTACATCCGTCTCTCGCGGCTCCCCACCGTCACAAATCTCTTCTTGCTGCATTGTCACTTCATCTGGCTGAAGGTTTGCTGGGACTTTCGGGTGAGCTGCAGAAGAGCCAGCTGCCCCCCACCCCAGAGTGAGACTTCTTCAGGCTCTCAAGAGAGAATCTGGGTCACACATCTCTCCTTCCGCCTCCCTCGTTTCAGCCCCTCTTGACTCCCCTCAAACCTTTCCTCCTTATACATCTTCAGGGAATAGGAGGCCCAGTAACAGTCTACACGTGGTGTCATAAGATAGGCAACGATCTCTCAGTTAACAGCTTCTTTTGTTTCCATAAGGAAAACCAGAATAGAAAATTAATTTCAACCCAAAATTCACTCATCGTTTTGGACTGAGGTTAGAATTCACAGTGGAAAGTTGTGTATTTCATCTTAACTATGAGCCTAAGGATTCCAGCAGACCTGTGTTGACTGCACACACTGCAAATTCCCTAGTAGAAGGTCCTTTTTCTTTTTCTTTTTTTTATACCAGGGATTGAAGTCAGGACCTTGAGCTTATGAGGCAGGTGTGGTACCACTGAGCTACATCCCCAGTCCAGAAGGTCCTTTTTCTAATCAGGCTTCTAATACAAACTTTTGGGGGACCTTTTGTAACTACTGCATATAATTTTTTAAATGGAAGTAAGTATAACAGCAACATCTTCTTTAACTAGAATAATGACCTCTCAAGCAATGAATGGATGTACTCTCTAAGAGGAAATACCGTGTTTCTCTTTCACCTTAACTTTGGGTTCAAATGAATGAACTACTTACTCTGAGAAGTTGGTGCCAGCCTGTGGCTCTGCCCTCTGTGTGCCTTATTTCTTTGGATGATGACTTAAACATTTTCTTCCCCTCCACTCTGACCCAAACACAAACATGCTCTTAACAATGGTTCTCATCAATCCTTGAGATCTCAAGAAGTGACTGAGATGTAGAAAGGGCAGAAATGTTAGGAAGTAGAAATTGGTGCCTCTCATGCTCTGAGAGTGTGCAGTGACTTCGGGCGTGGTCTTGCTCTCAGTTCTGGGATTCAGCCAGGCCCGAGGTGGTTAATCAGGGTCCTGAGTCAGCAAGGAGAAACCAGAGCTCAGGGGGAGGAGGCTCTGGAGCAGCCACACCCCAGGGGTACCCTTCCTACTGGGGAAATATCATTAGCCCGTGCTGACCACCAGGTCTTTAAAATCACGGTTGAAAGGAAACCGAGGTCAACTTGAAACATGCAAACAGCATTTTAAACAAGGGAAACAAGGATGGTGGTCAGCTCCATTAACTCGAGCCCAGCATGGTAAGAGACTTGCTTAACTCTGGGGGGTTTGTGGACTTGGCCTTCAATATCTCGCTTGGCAAAGATGCCTCAGAAGGGAGGAGGAACCCTGCACGCAGAAGGGAAGGGAAGCGTGAGATCTGGGGAAATCTCCTTAATTGTTGGTGCATGTTATTCAAGGCGGCTAGAAGAAAACTATTTTGAACACTCGTCTCCAATCTCAACTAAGTGTTTGTAGTGGTCTGGAACTAATGCTGGAAAAGCAGCAAGGCACGTCCAAGGCCTGCACCTCCCAGGACCAGACGAGAGTGGTCCCTACTTGAACGAGTCCTGGGGGGTGGTTACAGACGTGGTGAGCCGAAAGGAGCAAAGCGGAGACCCTGACTCCCTGGGGCGCTGGCTCAACATCGCTTTTCCCAGGAGAATCCACGGTCTCCGCCCTGGCACCCCAGAACGTGGACGGTGCTTAGGTTGGGCCTCCTCCTAACACTCGCTGCCCCAGCCTCCTCCCCATGGTCACCCGCGTGGTCTGACTGCTCAGGGACCCGCACGCAGGCGCTCCCTAGAACACGGTGGGCGGGGAGGGCTGCGTGGGCCGCACGCACCTGAGCCTCCAGCTGGCACTCGGTGAGGGCCATCATCTCCTCGTAGGTCATCTGGGAGAACAGCGCGGCGTACTTGTGCAGACGCAGGCTCTTCAACCAGGCCGGAACATCTGGGGTGCAAGGTGCACGGGGGACGGGGAGAGGAGCCACAGGAGGAGCAGGAAAGACAAAGAAAGAGGGAGGAGAGCGAGGAAGGAAGAGGGTAATGGTTGCAAGAAAAGGGGACAAAAAAAAAATCTCTGTTACTACTTGTTTAACTTTGGAAGCACGACAGGCACACAAATCTTGGGCTGGCCTGACCTCCTCGTGGGTGGGCTGTATCCTACTTCAGACCGGGGCTGTTAACTCGGGGTCCGTGGGCTGGTGGGTGTGCTGGGAAAGTGTCACCACGGCTTCCATAAAAAGCTAAAGAAGCACATGACCAGGAAAAAAGTGGGGCAGCGTCACTTCCTCGTTGGAGAGAACAGACTTCCACGTCAAACTGCACACACAGAATCCGCATCTACACGCTGCTCTGGCCACTTCCACAGAGACAAGAAAGCAGGGGACCATTGTCCCCCACAAGCGGAGGGACGGGGATTCCTAGCCTGAACTTTGTCGCACCTCACTGGACCCCCATGGGCTGAAGGGTACCCCAGACCCCAGCACTAGCACTTTTGTAGGGTGTCTGTCTCATCGTTTCTCCAAGCTGCAGGATGTATCTGATGGAGTTTTTGACATTTCCCTTGAAAGTCAACCAAAAATATACCTCAGCTTGGAAGATCCAAAGATTGGTCAAACCAAGAGATAACAGAAATTCCAAAGCACATCTGAAATAAACCCCAAGATTTCTAGAGTTAAGAAAGTTAAAAGGTAACTGTCCTTGAAAAATCCACAGGATTATTACCTGACTGTGTACAAACAAAACAAAGCCTCTGGCCACAATCTCTTAAGTCAGCATTTTTGAGTTGTAGAATCTTCTGGCTTATTTTAGGGACGGCAAACAGTCATGAGCCCAGATCACAGAGCAGTTAGGTGGTGAAATGCGTCTAGAACAGGTTGCCGAGTCCCAGTTCTTTCCTATACTGTATCAATTTTCATTAAAAGAAAAGACTAAATAGAGCAAGACTGCAAAAAGCACTTTGAAACGTTAAGGCACTGGGTGTTATGCACGTTTTCTATGAAGTATTATCCATTCAGTACTAACCAGGTTGATTGCAAGACTCTGTATTATTGATTGCTAAGTATTTTATTCTGAGGCACCGAGGAACCACACACATATTTGAAAACAGGAGAGAACCTTCTGATTTTTCAGTGTCGAGAGGAAAGACACCTGACCAACTCTGAACTCAGGCTCTGCCTCCAGGGAACAACCTGATGAGAAAAGTTCAGGGGGAGGGTCCTGGCCATGGCTTGCTGCGGTTCATCTGTGAAGGGCAGACTGTTAGAATTAGACATACGATGGCATTTTAAGAACAGACTCCGTTATCTCAGGCTAGAAATCACTTCATTTTGTGCTTGGAAGCCCTTTAATGTACTGTGACAAAGGAGAGTCCCGGTGGAACTGTCATTAACCACAGACCAACCAGGCTTCCCAGGCACACAGTACCACCCCCTACAGGCTCAAAGCTCAAGTGCCACTGGATCAGGAGCCCGGGACACGAAGCTCTGGAGCCTGGTGCTCTCCCTTCTGATACGTCCTGGAGCGCTTACCAGGCTTTGCTCTCCACCATGCATGCGTTTCTGTTGAAAGACTGCTGAGGTTTTATCCCCGCGCGAGCCCCAGCTCAGGACAACTGCACCTTACCACTCTGTCACCAGGTTTCACGGGTGCTAGTCACATCGCAGAGAAGTCCCAGGTCACTGCTCAGAGAATGCAGCAACCCAGAGGACATCTGGGCAACCCAGGGCCACACTTGCATGTCACGAGAGGCCACCATGGTCACAAAAGAGCAAGGACCAACCCGACGGACCAAATTTTCACTGAATTCCCTATGGCTCAGGTACAAAATCATGACAAATGGATGCTTTCCAATCCAAGGTGACAACAGGGTGTCCCAAGTCACGAAGGGTGAGGGGCACTTCTCAGGGTGGCTCCTTCCTGTGTGACTCTTCTGACAGCTCAGTTCCCCTGCAGAGGGGCATGGGAGAGCCCAGCTCCCTCGTTTCATCAAGATGCAGGTCCCAGGAGCAGGCTTCCTGGGAAAGGCTCCGTACGACCTCACACCGGCACGCCTTAGGCCTTCCTCCACAGCTACCTCTGGACGCGTTCCTGAGAAACCTAAGCTCCCCTGCCCTATGTTCCTCAAGGCAGGCACAGGTTGCCGCTGCTCAGTGCCTGGCTCTCTAGTCCCTTGCCTAGGCTCTCTCCCTCCTGCAACTGGACCTGAAGGACACAGCAGAGGAGATCCCAGCTCTTGAGAATGGAGCTTGCCGACCTTTCTCCCCTGCTTGGTGGCGAGGGGCCTTCTCTCATCCGGGACTAAAGCAAAACTCCTTCAAAAGGGAGCAAACCAGAGCACCCAGGGCCCAGACTGCGCTTTCTCGAGCCAGGAATTCCAATGACTCAGACGCTAGGTTCTGTGAGATAGCGGCAGGGCTGAGCGCGGAAAGCTCAGGTCCTTTCCCAGGGCCCCACCTGCCAACCCGCTGGAAGCAGCGAGTACTGCGACTCAGATGCCCTCTCCTGGTCATGGGAGAGGCTGGGAGGGAAATGAAGGCACACGTATGTCCAGGGTACCCCCTCTGGCAGATACACAGCTGGATACATGAGTGGAGGCCCCAGTGGTGCAAGTCCCTCTCAGGGGGTGTGAAAAAGAGAAAGATGTGTGGCCATAGTCAGGCTGAACTCCTTGCTGAGTGACAGAGTGCGTTCGATGGGGGCCAGGCTTGGGGAAGACGCATTCTTGCCAGCAGGGAGTTTTTAATCCAGAAAATATTGCTGGTTCATGCATGTAAAGGGCAGTGGCTGCAGCACAGATTCTGAACGTGCTCAGCATTCCAGGGGAGCAGTGAAGATTGAGCATTTAGTGTTGCTGTAAGGAGGGAGGGAGAGCTTCCTGCAACCTGCTGCCAAGAGTAGCGAGAACTTGGGAGTTGCTTCCACTGGGAAGACGGAGGAAGCCATCCCAGGAAGCAGGAGAAGTGGGAACAAAGCACAGAGCCAGAGCATGCTGGGCGGAGAACGGCTAGAGATGAGGGACACACAGGATGGGCATCAGATGACTGAGACAGGAGATGTTCAAGGGAGGACAGCAGACGCCATCTTGTGGGTGACGAGGAGGAGCCGGAGAGCAAGCAGAAGCACAATCAGAGGAGTGCGGAGAAAGATGGAGGCCATCAATGGAAAAGCTAGATGGGAACTTGGCCAGGGGGCTGGGACATGAGCTTATGGCCTGGGAGGGGCAACAGAGGAGAAGGAATGGATATAACGTGATGGTACTTGATGGCCAGGAAAGAGCAGGGTGTGAGGGAGACCAAGGAGCTCCTTTGGTTCAGGTCTGGTGAGTTGGAACCCACAGGGGACCTGTGTTTTGAGCCCCTGAGTGTCACTGCCTTTGCATCGTGCAGGGGGGAGGAGAAAACTGGCCAAGCTCTTAGAAGGGAAGTCTGAGCTGGAGAACAACTTGCCTTGTCAACAATGCACAGTGGCCTTTGCAGCCATGGAAGTAGGTGAGGTTACTCAAGCAAGAAATACCAAAATGGGATAAGGAGAGCGCCAAGGCGGGGCCCTGGGGACGGCAGGCCTTCGGGAGGCGGGGGAGGAAGAAAGGGGAGCAGGTAGGAAATCCTTGAGCGACAGCACCACTGTTTCCATATGCATGACGTCGGTCCCTCGTGAAGCTCCTTCAAGATCTCTCTGCAGTTCACTCTGGTTTAGCCTCTTACAGCCATTTTTGATAACAAGCACTACACTTGTCTTGTATACGTTGTAGATTTGCTTGCTGGTTTTTACCAAAGGGATCATGTCGTAAATTGTGCCAATTTCTATTGTCCTTTTAGAACTCAGCCCAAGTCAGGCACAGAGGTGCTGTGGCGTGTCCAGCAGCTCACAAGATGCTGGGCTCCAATGAGACCCTGGGGTTCTTTTCAGCCTGCTGTGGGAAGGGCTGCAAATACCAGCTATGTCAACAAGCTGTGGGGCACCAACCACAAATAAGGCCCCAGGAGAGAGGGGGAAGAGAGAGGGAGCGATGAGAGAGGTGGGCTGAAAGTGCGGGATGGCAGAAGGTGAGGCATCTCCGTAAGAGGAACACAAAACCAGCTTTCCCCAGAAGGGGTCCTCGGTGGCGCTCTTGCTACCTGCGGATGGACGATCAACTTCTGCTTGCACAGAGAGCTGGGACCAAATCCCTGGTCTCTGAGGGGAGGAGGAAGAAAGCCCGAGACAGGAACAAAGCAGAGGTGTGGCAACCCCATCGCGACTGCCAAAGCCGGCCTTTATCTCAGAGCAAATGAGCAGCCCTGACGCTGTCCCAGCCTCTGGAGGAAGCTCGGTCTTGGGTGCCTTTGGAGCTCCATCCTCCCCAGTGTGCCCCTTGATCCTGGGACACAGCCATCGATGTTAGGCTCTGGGAGGGGTTCCGAGCTCATGGGGACACAGATGGGTCTCGGAAGGCACAGAGGAAATGCCACTCTGAGGTATAAGATGCAAACACAGGGGCAAATGTCTCTCTGCTGCTCCTATTCACCGCGGAGTCCACAGGTCTTCTACCAGCTGCTCTGCCCTGGAAGGCAGTGGGCGTGCACTGTCCCAGGAGCTGCTCTCTGCGAGCCAGTGCCTTCCTGAAAACTCTTGTGCTGGGCAGGGATGGAGGTGGCAAGTCCCAGACGCTGAGGACGGGGAGGAATCCTAGAGATTCGCTTCTCAGACATCATTGAGCCCAACTCACTCTGCAGCACGAGGACCCATGTGTTCAGGTCACATGTTGGCGCTCGGAAATAAAGGAAACGCAGCAGATGTGTTCAAGTGAAAAGAATTCCAGACAGCACCTGGGAAGTCAACATTCAGGAAATAATGACTAGTGTCGATGACAGCCGCGCTGAAAAGTGTCCCAGGCACTCAGGGAGCCGTGCCACTCCCACGCCATCACTGGGCTTCTCATGGCCCCGAGAGATGCCGGATTCACAAGCTTGCCTCCAGAGGGCTCTGACAGGCTTCCTTTTCTTAGAAAGGATCTCACCTCTCCCTAATTTTCTAGCCTCATTCCAGGAGAGACAGAGGATTAAAGGTGTACCTTTCAGAAACAGCTCCAAGCCTCACACTGGCTATGCCAGAGTGGATGATTTCTTTTCTTTGCTGTGGAAAGAGAAAGTTTCCCCAAGTTTCTTATCTAAGAACAGATCCTGAGAAAAAGCAAACCACACACATTCAGTCCCTGGCCACCTCCATCCTTAACTGTTATGTGAATGGCAGGGTTGCAGAAGCCAAGAGTCCCTTCTTTTCTGTTTACCACGTCTCTATGCAAACAAACAAGACACCAGTCTCGGTCGCCACTGTATTTCTGCGCTGACGTCATGCTACGCGTTTTAAGAATGTTTATTTGGATAGCGAGGAGATGAGAACCACCATCTACCCTACCCCCACACACCTGGGAGGAGCATGGTGGTCCCTGGGGACCCCTGAGGGGCTTGCACACCTCCCCTGAGATGATGTACAGGTCCCCAATTCACCGAACCCCAAGCTGTCCCCGTTATCGGTTTCGCCTTTCCTGGATCCCTTGCTATACAGTGACCTTAGGGCCTCCTAGACGTCTCGGGCAGAAATCCAGGCGACATTCTAGGCACCTCCCACTCCACCACTGTCTCCGTCCAGCAATTCCCCCTGCACACTCCGTCGCCACACTCATCTGCCTCCATTGCCACCGCTGCTTGCCTGGGTCCAACTTCATCTTCTCCCTAATGACTCAAAAATCCCCTACCTTTCTACTGGCCTCCAAATCCAGAATCCCCTTCTCCTCACCTTGGAACAATTTCCGCACTGCTTTGAGGCTCCCTCTCTGATACACAAATCGAGGCGATTCTGCCACACAAAGTCCAGCAGGACCTCCCTGGCTCGTCCCTCTCCTCCTCCTCCCACCAAACATCACTCCTTCATGCCAATCGGGCTCTGAGACTCCGCTCCAGGTTCCGGTCTTCTAGGAACTTCCCCTCTATGAATCAGGAGCCTTTTGGTGTCCTGCCCCGACCCAGGCCAAGGCTCTAAGACAGCACAGCCTCCTGGCAGTGCCCCTGCATTCGGCACCTGCTTGCCACTCAAAGAACGAGCCCCCGGTCCACTCGTCCAAGCCCCTCTCTGCAGGTGCTGTCCACTCGACGAGGACCAGAGCGAGCCCACAAATGCTCCCCCTCTCAGCTACATCACTCATCAACAGCCCTGGCTTTCTGATAAGACTTCGGGCGGCTGATGACATCAGTGAGGGCGAGATGCTGTGTGAGGGCAAATGGGCTTCTTCCACCAACTGGCCACTCTGCCTCCTGGGAAATCTCTGCCCTTCCACCCGAAGCCCTCGTAGGACAGAGAGACAAAGAGCAGATTCTACTCGTGTCCTGCCCAGGAAGTGAAGGGCATCATAACTGAGTACCACCAACTCACCGTCTGACTCTCTCCTGGGGATAGGTCACAGCGAAAGTTTGGGAAAGAAGAAGAACTGAATTTAGAACCCACAACTATCATATTTAATCCAAGCATGCACAACCAGTAGCCTCCATCCACAGGGAATGGGACAGGGGAGAAATTTCATACTCCAGCTCAATCCCCATTCCTCTTGGGTTAGTTTCAAGCTGAGTGGTCAATCCTATTTTTCCTTTAGCTTGATTGTACCTAAGCCACTTCAGGTGGAAGGGACATTCAGTCTGAACTTGGAGCCAACTTAAACCCTCAGGTTAGGTTTCTACTATAGAAGGAAAAACACAGCATTGTGGGCCGATGATATTACTCTTCTGAGAGCAGGAGCTGGTCTACCTGGGAAAGAACTTAGTGGCAGAGAGTGCTGACCTCAAGAGAAAAAGAGGATTAGGATCAATGAATGTGAAAAATAAAGAACAAGAAGAGTTCATTCCACATTCTTGATCCAAGACGTGCATTCCTGAGGGGTGACTGTGGCCAAAACTGGAGAGTCTGTTCAGCTGAACAGGAAGGAAAAGGAAGGGAAGATGAGGATGCTATTTCAGCAAAGTATGCACACCTGTTGGCCAGAAAGATGAATTCACACCAAATCAAGTTCAACGGCAGTGACTTTCTATTCCCTCCCAAGGTATAATACCCGGCAGCATGCCTCTCCAGAAGGTTTGTGAAGTCTTCCAAACTCTACTACAGATCCCTTGTTCACATAACTTGGGCAGTTCAACGATGGCATCCTGAGGTGTGGACCTGATTCCTGCCAGAGAGCTGAAGGAAAGGATGTGGGTCCAAGAGGAAGACCTGGCTCCTTTTAGAAGCATTTCACTTGGTTTCATAGTTCACTTCTCTTTTTAAAAAGTGTCAATTAATTTGGAAATTTAAACTGACACCTGCTCTTAGACACGGGGCCCGAACGACTAGCCCTTGGGATGAGTGTGTTAAGGGTTGCTTCTCGGACATGCTCCTTGGACATGTTGAACAATCTTTGATGAAGAAGAGTCCTGCACAGAGGATATGTCACAGCAGGCCTGCAGGAGGGAGGGACACTGGGGTTTAATAGATACTGGCTCGGGACACTTTGGAAGGCTAATGTTTCTGGGTGTAGACATTCCCACTGTCTAACTTGTCAGTTGAACTACAAATTTACTTTTCCGATAAGTAGAATCCTTCATCATCTATAATGTTTCTTCCTTCAAAAAAATTTTTTTTGCCAATTTAACTTGCTAGTGATGTGTGTGTGTGTGTAGGACTGGGGATCAAACTCAGGACCTTGCGCTTGTGAGGCAGGCTTACGCCACAGAGCACTTGCTAGTGATTTTATACTTTGAATTCTAATCTAATTCTTTGGAAGAAGGAAAATTTCAATAGGTCAAAAAAAGTAGGAACACATGGAAAAGGGTCTTTTGTCTGGGCACCAAACAGCCCATTTTGTGACCAGAATCCATGGGACTATAAAGAAAGTCTTAGATATGGCGGTTTTGTCTGGGTCATTTTCTGATTGAGTAACTCTGAGACAATTCTCACCCATTCTAGAGAAAGGAATCAAATAAGAGTATCTATAGGATATTCCTTGAACTTCAGCAAATTTTGGCTTTTATCCTAAATCAAGGATTAGACGTCTGTTTGGTTATTCTCTCATTCACATCTCTTGAAGAATGTTATCTTTATTCATTTCTTACCTCAAAAATGCCTGCTCAGAACACTAATATCTTTACTGATTTTGCGAGAATGTGTGGGGTAGGCAGAGGGCCTCAAACAAAAGTAAACAAAGCAAAGCAAACTGAAAATGAAAGGAAGAAAGAGAACGAATATCCAGACACTGGGCACGGGGAGCAGCTTTCTTCCCTGGGAGGGCTTTGTGGAGGTGAAAGGCCTTTCCTCAGGCTGGCCCTTGTTGTCAAGGGCCCGGGCCAGGCCTCTTCTCACAGTACCCTCAAACCCTCATCTATGCTGTCTCAAATGTGGGCCACTAAGACACCAACTTCACCTACACAGAAGCTGGCTGGAAGATCCCTCAGGTATCTTGGGCTCAGTGATGGAAGCCAGGCCTACCAAGAGCATGGCAGAATCTCCCCGTGCCATCTGTGACCCGGGCACGGCTGCTGGAAACCTCATAGCATACACCCAGGAGTGGATTTTGCTCATTCTCCAAAATTGTGGTGTAGCACCCTGGAAACAGTAAAGGAGAGAGAGGATGGGCATCGCTTTCATGCCCAATAGACCTACTGTGTGTGCTGCCTGTTTTGCGCCTGTGAAGGCCCATCTGCACCAAGGGAAAACGTCAAGCCCTGGGTCGTTCCTCCAGCAGCCCAACATGGACAACTGCGGATGGGGAAGTGGGTGTGCGGGGTGGGCCTGGGTCGAAGGGCGGTGGTTTTCAGCTGCTGGCACCAGGCGGGAGGGACAGGGCAGAGTCCCCCATGTCAGTGGTGCTCAAGATGCAAGGGGAAGATCAGAGCAGCAAACCCTAGGCTGTGTTCATCTAGCGAAAGCTGCCCCCAAGGCACTGGAGTCCCCAAAGCCAGCCCAGCTCACGTCTCCCCACTGCCTGCTGCTATCCACCTGTCTCTCCCCTAACGACCTGCACAGCTCTTAAACAACGGGAGTCTAAGAGGACGGAACGCATCATATCATCTTCGAGCCTATCCACCATAGGTCATGTGGAGATCTCTCTCTCCTGATGAGGATCTTTAGGAGAGAGGATTTCCAGGAAGCTTTGTTCAGACCCCACAAAAGGCCTTAATCACCGATATGCAAATCCATGACCAGGCTGAGGACACTGTCATGCCCTCTTGGTGCTTTTTCATGGCCCAGGCAGGGAAAAGGGTGGAGAGGTTTCCTTGGATATCAAAGAAAAAGGGAGAGACAGAGAAAGGAAATGCTACAATTCTGCCCTAGTCATTTAGGAAGGAAAAGAAAAATCAGATAAATGGTTTGCTTTTCTGAATTAGTGACGGGGATCTGGCCAAAGCAGTGGGCCAGAGGCTGGAGCAACTCAGCAGGTTTAGGGATGGATGACCCTGTCCCCTGCCAACTAGTGGGATCATGCGCTTGTCTGAGGATTGTGGTTCACTGAAAATGAAGCGGAGGGTGTCAACTCTCTTACTCTACTGGAAGGGTTTCCAGGTCCTTTTCCTGTAGGGCCAGCCTATCAGGGAGCGCTCGACGCCACAGGCCTGGGGAGCGGGGCTGGGCTCTTCCTCTCTCTGGCTATCTCCTCTATTTACCCTTCCAATTCCAGACAAAGGGAGGGACTGCATGGTCCCTCTGTAGTCACTCACCTTTCATACCACTACCTTCTTCTTGGAATGTGTTACGAGCAGTGGTCTGATCTTCTAAGTGTTCACTCCCACCACTTCCTGAAGAGGCTACACTGCTTTGTGGAGACAGGGGGGCATGATCGGAGGGGAGGCACTGGGGTCCTCTAGCTCGTAAGTCCTCATGAGACATCCATCCATGTCCTAGAGGCTGGTTTGGCACATTCATGGGTGGGGTAAGGGACACAGATCGTTTCAAAGGGCTGTGGTGTGCCTGGCCTGAGAGAACTGAAAAAAAAACAAAAACGAATAGGTTATTCCCCCGCTTTAGCCTGGGACACAGAATCTACAGTACCTTTGCACCCTGCGATACCCCGACTGCCCATGGGCACAGTGGGTGGAATGCAGGCCTGGCAGGGTCCTTCCCTCTAGGAGGTTAAATAGGATGCTGTGTGGACCACTTGGCGAGCCACACCTATGGGATCCACACACCTGGCTTAGTGTGCATGTGGCGTGCATTTGGTTTCAGTTCTAATTCCACAGATGGGGATTTGGACAAGGGGTCCAGCTGCCCGGCAAAGGAGCCATCTGCCCAAAGTGAAGAGAACGTGCTGCACAATTTTTTCTCTTTAAGCACTAACTCTGACATTACCGGTGTGTTAGGGAGAACCTCCTGAAGGGTGGCAGGCTGGCTGCCATTCAGGGCATACAGGAGGATGAAGTAGGGGGAGGCAAGCTCATCCTTCTGATTCAGGAATCGGGGGACATCAGCTGGGAAGTAGTGAGGGGCTCCGGCATTAATGTGACCTCGGGGTGCGGGACATAGGCAGCTACAGGTGAAAGGGGCGATTCTTTCCCTTGGCCTCCTCGGTTCATGCCAAGATGTACACTGCAAACACCGCCAGGTAACAAGGCTTTCATTGAGAAGCCCGCGGGGCTCTCAGTGAGCTGAGGATGGGTTTTACCAGCATGTTTGGCCTTTCTGCACAGTGGGCAACATCTGTACAGTCCCGGTCTTTAATTTCTTTCCCAGAAAACTAGGAAATAGCAACAAAACTCACATAACTAGCCAAATTGAACTGAAGGCATTCAAAGGAGGTATTTAACTGACATCAACGCCCAGGGAGCCAAGGTTACCCTTGGTTGGTTTTTCTGGGTGTGTGAAGTGACAACTTCACAGAATAAGTCTATTCATAACATTCTCTCAGCACCAGTTCCTGACAGGTCCGGTATATTTTGACTGCTGCTGTACTAACATGGAATTGAGCCACATGAATTTTAAAACATTTTTTGGGGAAGCCATGCAATTCTGTCTCAGGCTCTATCCCTTCCAGGGAGACATGTGCTCTCCCAATTTTGGATTAGTACTGTTTTGCTGGCATTGACCTGTGTTTTTCAGTAGGTAGACCAGATATCCCAAATGGCAAGGAGTCCTGCTTTTTCACAAAAGCTGCACTTTTCTGGGCCAGCACCCCCAGAAAAGCCTGAGATGCTGATCACTGTGCCCCGATTTAAAAGATAAAGACCAGAGTTGAAAGGTGCTGCAAAAAAGTGTATCTGGGCTGTAGTGGGCGGGGGCTGCTGACAGCACTCAGTGACCAGGCTTGCAAGTGGTCACCATTTCCGTCCAGCCCAAGGTGACCAGAGGGGTAGCTTTAGTGGGCATGACCCAAAGTGCTGCATACTTTTTCCTTAACATAAAAGGAGAATAAAATGGAGCTACCAGGTTTAGTATTTGTAACATGAGAATTTTTTTTTTTTTTTTTGGCACTGGGGATTGAACTCAGGACCTTGCTCTTGCAAGGCAGGCGGCAGCACCAGTGAGCTAAATCCCCTGCCTGAAAAATTTCGAATTTGAGAAAATTCTATCCAAGTCAAGGTATTATCATCTACCTTAAAAATATGCAAAGGGGGACATTGTTTTTTAAAAAATGACCTCAGCTTGCATTTTTGCTAAATAAATGCAGGAAAAAACTCTTCTAACAGGATCCGTGAAAAATGCATCGCTACCTGATTGGAATAGAATTAGCAAGGGGGGAGAAAAAGAGAAAGAAAATAAATAAGTGAAAAGGAAGCGGCAACAAAAATGAAGAGGGAAGCCAATAGGAAGAAAAGCCAGACATTCCGACAATCCATTTCATGCCTGTCTCCGTGTTTATGTAAAACTGGGCAGACTTGTTTAGGGCTGGGCTGAGCAGGGGGACATTTCGGTTGAGACAGCTCGGCTTCCTGGCACCTCTGTGACCATTTCAGACTATCCGGCAGGAGCTCTGAGCAAGGCCAGCTGGGTGTCCCAAGTGGGAATGGGGTCCCTCTTCCATCCTCCAGCTGGGATTAGAGCCCGAACCCGGAGAACTGGCTTTGCCAAAGAGGGCCCACAGCTCTGAGCCGGTGGAAGCCTCAGTGCTGGCGGGCTACAGGCACTTCCTGAATCACTAATGAACTGACAGCCATGGGTGGTTACAGCTAGGATGCTGAGAATAATATCAGGCACAGATAGCAGCTGAATTCCATTAGTGGATGCAGCCAGTTTTCTTCTTTCTACATAAAAATTTTAAAAAATCAAACCTTTCCCACTACCACGGAAGCACATATTTGGGGAGGATTCTGGGACACTCTTGGCTATTGAGCTTTGAAACCAAATATTTATCTAACTTAATGGGCTTACAGAGATTTGTACATAAGGACCTACATGTGTCAGGTACAATTTCTTTTTTAAACGTTTTCCTGAGATTAACTGAAGTCACAGGGCATAGGGCATGGACTTGACATCTGCCTCTAAAAACAACAACAACAACAAAAATCAATTGTACCTGAGGTGCCAGGGCCATTTCTCAATGACTTTTTATCAAAAGCTCCACCTCCTCTATATGACAGTAGGAGCCCTTTGGTGCCTACAACTGTCACCAAACTCAGGACTGTCTCAGAGCCACCCCGAGAGAGCAACCAAGCCCCTCACCTGGCTCCACCCTTCTAATTTGCGGCGAGGTGTAGAGCCAGGCTGAGCATCATATGTGAACCAAAGCAAACTCATGCAGGCAGATGCCTCACTCCTCCAAAAGGAACCGAGGGCCATGGGCAGCACAGACTGTCCTCCCGTGGGGAGGAGACTGCAGCAGGCGACAGGTGCCCCGCCAACAGTGCCACTCCACATGAAGAGTTGTGAGCACAAAGCTGATTCTGGTGTCACCTCTTGTTCGGCAGTTATTTGTTTTTACAGCAGGCAGAAGAGGGAAAAATAAATACCACAGGGAGAGGAGGCTGCAAGAAAATGGGCCACACAGTTGTGCAGCTAACAAGGTGGTCAGAGGCCGGGTACCAATGACCGTGCTCATCCCATTGCTGCCTTTTCTTTTTCTTTAACTCAAGAGGTGACACGCAGGAGGAGAGGTGGACATTTAGGGGGAAAACTTCCCTACGAGTCAGGAGGAAAAATAGTAAAAAACAGATCCGTGAGAAGCTCTTCCGCTGGGGTAGCTGCCCCAGAATGGTTCTGGCCAGAGGCTTTTGAATGCTCCTGCTTGTTGACTCCTGTGTTGTGGCCAACAGCTAATGATTCCTTCAGACGTCAGCTACCCACAGTAATGTTCAAGTGCTGCTGAATTCAGGACGCCTTTACAGAATCACCGCGGAGAGCAGAAGTGGGCAAGCAGAACCGAGGTCCTACACTTGTACTACGTATGTGGTTATTGCGGTGGTGTGGCTGGAGGGACAGCATAGATCAGGAAGGATTCATTCTATTCAAAATCATACCGAACACTGCCCTGGGGAGCAAAATTGTGCCTCTTACTTATTAACAAATCAAACTACTAATACTTAGCATTGGGTATAGTACAATCTCTTATGAGAAATTTCAGGTCTCTGTGTAGGTCTCCATAAATACAGCATTATTAGGCCACTATAGTTCTGGGAACATTTATAAATCCAAGTGACCCTAAAGTGCACAATAAGTATTAAGTCTAGCTGAAAAAAAAACCAGCAAAGAATAATCTTGCTACAGCAGGTGAACAGGCAGTGGGGCAGAACTGTGAAGCGTCTTATAATCTGGCCATAAACTTGGTCCCTCAGGGTCAGTCATTTTTTCTGAACCTTACGATTTCTTCTTCTTTAATCTCCCAGCATGTTTAATGAGACCTCTTTCAATACATTTTTAGGGAACATATGATGCCTGGCTCTGGATCATGTTCTTTTAAGGTTTGTTGTTTTTTTTTTTTTTTTTTTGT